GAAATAGTAATGATAATGAGGATGATAATGAGGATGATAATGGTATAGGTGATGATGATGGTAATGATGATATAGATGATGATGATGATGGTAATGATGATATAGATGATGATGATGATAATGATAATATAGATGATGATGGATGATATGATGATATAATGATGATGGTAATGATAATATAGATGATGATGATGATAATGATGATATAGATGATGATGGTAATGATGATATAGATGATGATGATGGTAATGATAATATAGATGATGATGATGATAATGATGATATAGATGATGATGATGATGATGATAATATAGATGATGATGGTAATGATAATATAGATGATGATAATGATAATATAGATGATGATGATGATAATGATATTGATATAAAAGATGATAATAAGAAGGTAATGATGATGGTGAAAATGATGATGATGATAATTAATCAGAATCTTAATAATGATAATGATGATAATGAAAAAAATAAGGTGCAGAGTATTCAATATTTAATGTTTAAAGGGGAAAGTATTTAACTGATTTCGTATTATATCTGCGAAACTAGTAATAGAATGATTGTTAATGGGTGTTCCCGTTTACTAACTGATTTTATTCATGGGTTTTTAAAAAATCTCATTCAGTATTATATTTGCTGATCTCTTAAATGCTATATCGATTCATACATACATCATAGGATAATTAATACTGTCTTTTTCTCTTTTTTTCTTTCTTTCTCTTATGAAATAGATTTCAAGGTATAGGTCGTGGAACAGTTTTTTTTTTTTTTTTTTTTTTTTTCTTTTCTTCTTACTTTATCAATCTGTCTAATGGTATACACGCTGTGTTGATTCTACCTTCGCCTTAGTGTAATTGCAACACGAATTTGTTAAATGAGATTCTTTGACAGCTACATTTTGCTAAGAGAAAGGCTAGGTCAGTAGCATCTCGAGGAGGTGTCTTGACGGCGCCTGATTCTATTTTTGGAAAAGAAAACGGCACATGGGGTTTATTTTGATGACGTCACAAAAGTTACGAATGCTTATATGGTCGATCATTTTTGGTCTCTTAAGTTTTAAAAATGGATGGAAAATAATTATATTAATGGTTATATTTTCATCGAACAATCCTCAAAAGATCGGTTATATTGGTTATATTTGACAGTTTGTTTTTTATTACGTGTTGGCCATGACACCACCTCGAGTTGCTACTGATCCAGCCTTTCATATTTTACTAGTTGTCAGAGAATAAATTAAGGAAATTAACATGCATTTATTGTCAATTGTTTTTCCTAAAAGGGGATTCTCTTTAAAGTCGGGATTTTCCGATTTTATTAAATGTATTTATCATTATCATTGCTGTGTGCAACTTGGTACTCTTAACGAATAGTTTCAACTTTTATTGCTGTTATTATTTATCATTATTATTGTATTGTTATTATTATTTTATTATATTATTATTATATTATTATTGCGAATATTATTGCTCTTGTTACTATTGCTATTGCTATTGCTATTATTATTATTATTATTATTATTATTATTATTATTTTATTTTATTTGTTATTATTATTGTTTTTATCATTATCATTATTAATTTATTTTTCATATTTGTTGTCTCAATCTTTTCGAACATTTTCTAGCGCAAATTTCGTCACGTTTCACAAACCGTGATTTAGTCTTGACAATGAAATGAGTAAATTGAGGGAAATGGATCTAATGCACAGTACTTTTCTCGTCTGAAGTGCTAATTAACTTAACTTAATTAACTTAACGTATTATTTTATCTGTTAACCTCGAGCCTAAAATATTCGTGAAGTACGTTGTTTTGTGAATAATATTTGGGATAATCATAATGGAAGAGTATTTTTTTTTTTTTTTTTTACTTTACGGAGAATTAGTTACTGTTTTTAAGTCTAGAATATCATTGACCCTTCTTTCATTAAAAAAAAAAAAAAAAAAAAAATTAGTTACGAGATGTGTTCAGTGGCTTTACTTTAGCTTCAGAATACATATATTTTAGAAATTGCATTGAAATGTAGATTATTAACTTGTATTACATATATTTTTTTATTATTCATTTTTAGAATTGTAGCTAAAATGTATTACATAAAGAGACTTGCCCTTTCGAATATTTTAGTTGTTTTAATGTATATCTTGAAGAGGAAATGTCATTAAAAATCATTTGTTTATGTGCTTTTTCGATAGTATTGTGAATTTGCCTTCAGAACATCGGTTATATTGGTTATATTTGACGGTTTGTTTTAATTACGTGTTGGTCTCGTGGGTAAATATGATGATATTGATATTAGTCATTATTCCTGAAGCTTTTGATTAGTGTGAAATAAAAAAGGGAGGAACTGTATATAAAAATAAATTAGTTACTCTGTCAGGAAGTGCATCGAAAAAAGAATGAAAGCTAGTTACCTTGTCTGAAAGTGTAATGAAAAATTATAAGCTAGTTACCCTCTCATCTTTCACTGTGGTTTTCTTTGATATTTGAAGGGTAACTATTATATTTATCTTGAAAGTGGATTTCCTGTGTTTGTCTCTTTAATTTCTGCTATACGCGTTTCATTCTTTAATAGATACAATTTTTATAATACTAGGGGTAATATTTTTTTCAAATGTAAGTGTAGAATTATAATCTAACAATACATTAATGGACACAAACGCACACGCACTCAAATACACACACCTACACGCCCACACGCACACGCACACGCACACGCACACGACACGCACACGCACACGCACACGCACACGATCAACACACACATTTTTTTATTATTATCATTAAATATCTTTGTCTTGTTTTTTGTTATCATTATTTTTTGTTCAAACCTTTATCAAATTTTCTAACCTCATACCGATCTCTTTTTCTTTCTTTCTCTTTCTCTTTATATTTATTTTTTCTCTCTCTCACTTCTTTTTTCTATTTTATTTCTCCTTGTTTATTTTTATTTCTTTTTATATTTCCGTTTTCCATTTTTCTCTTTCTTTTATTTCCTTTTCTTACTCTGTTCTACTTCTCTTCTTCTTTCTATTTTCTTCCTCTGATTTGATTTTCTTATTTTTTTTCCTCGTTTATTTATTTGTCTATTTATATTTGTTTTTTTTTACACACTTTTTTTATTTCCTCTTCATTTTTCACTTTCTTCTTTCTATTTCCTCTTCATTTTTCACTTTCTTCTTTCTATTTCCCTTTTCTTTCTATTCTTTTATCTTTTTGTTTTCTTTCTCTTATTTATTGTTCTATATTTATTTTCTTCTTTTTCTCTCTTTTCATTTGATTTGTATCTATTTTCCTTTTTCTATTTTCTTTGTTATTTATTCATGTTTTCTTTTATTTCCTTTCCTTTTTCAATGTTTTTGCATTTATTTTTCCTTTTTTTCTACTTTCTCTCTTTTTCTCATTGCTTTTTGTACTTCTCAATTTTTCTATTCCTCTAACGTTTACCCTTTTTTATTCTTTTAGTATTTCTCTTTTTTCTATTTTTCTAACGCCTTTCTTGTATTTCTCATTTATTCCTATTTTTTCTAACGTCTTTACTGTATTTCTCAATCATTCCTTTTTTTTTTTTTTTTTTTTTGTATTTCTCATTTTTTTCTATTTTTCTAACGTCTTTACTGTATTTCTCAATCATTCTTTTTTTTTTTTTGTATTTCTCATTTATTCTAATTTTTCTAACGTCTTGTATTTCTCATTTATTCCTATTTTCCTAACGCCTTTCTTGTATTTCTCATAAATTAAACCTTTTCTAACGTCTTTGTATTTTTAATTTACTTCAATTTCCTAACGGTTTTCTTGTATTTCTCATTAATTTAAACCTTTTCTAACGTCTTTGTATTTAATTTGCTTTCAATTTTCCTAACGGTTTTCTTGTATTCCTAAATTCACTTCAATTTCCTAACGCCTTTCTTGTATTTTCTCATTAATCTTAAACTCTCTTGGTATTTTAAATTATTTCAAATTTTTCTAACGTCTTTCTTGTATTTCCTCACTTATTTCAAAATTTCCTAACGGTTTTCTTGTATTTCTCATTAATTTTTAAACCTTTTCTAACGTCTTTGTATCTTTAATTCATTTCAAATTTCCTAACGGTTTTCTTGTATTTCTCATTAATTTAAACCTTTTCTAACGTCTTTGTATTTTAAAATTATTTCAAATTTCCTAACGGTTTTCTTGTATTCCTCACTTATTTCAATTTTCTAACGGTTTTCTTATGTATTCTCATTAATTTAAACCTTTTCTAACGTCTTTGTATTTTTAATTTACTTCAATTTTCCTAACGGTTTTCTTGTATTTCTCATTAACTTAAACCTTTTCTAACGTCTTTCTTGTATTCCTCAACATACTTCAATTTTCCTAACGGTTTTCTTGTATTCCTCACTTATTTAAATTTTCTAACGGTTTTCTTGTATTTCTCATTAATTATAACCTTTTCTAACGTCTTGGTATTTTAAAATTATTTCAAATTTTTCTAACGTCTTTCTTGTATTCCTCACTTATTTCAAATTTCCTAACGGTTTTTTTTTTTAATTTCTCAATAATTTAAACCTTTTCTAACGTCTTTGTATTTTAATTCATTTCAAATTTTCCTAACGGTTTTCTTCTATTTCTCAATAATTTAAACCTTTTTCTGACGTCTTTGCATTTTTAATTCATTTCAAATTTCCTAACGGTTTCTTCTATTTCTCAATAATTTAAACCTTTTCTGACGTCTTTGCATTTTTTAATTCATTTCAAATTTCCTAACGGTTTTTCTTCTATTTCTCAATAATTTAAACTTTTCTGACGTCTTTGCATTTTTTAATTCATTCAAATTTTAACGGTTTTCTTCTAACCTTTCTAACGTCTTTGTTTTTTAATTCATTTCAAATTTCCTAACGGTTTTCTTGTATTTCTCACTTATTTCAATTTCCTAACGGTTTTCTTGTATTTCTCATTAATTTAAACCTTTTCTAACGTCTTTGTATTCCTAATCACTTCAATTTCCTAACGGTTTTCTTGTATTTCTCATTAACTTAAACCTTTTCTAACGTCTTTCTTGTATTCCTCACTTATTTCAATTTTCTAACGGTTTTCTAACGTCTTTGTATTTTAAAATCATTTCAAATTTCCTAACGGTTTTCTTGTATTTTCTCATTAATTTAAACCTTTTCTAACGTCTTTCTTGTGGTTTTCTAACGCCTTTGTATTTTAAAATCATTTCAAATTTCCTAACGTTTTCTTGTATTTCTCATTAATTTAAACCTTTTCTAACGTTCTTTCTTGTATTCCTCACTTATTTCAATTTTCTAACGGTTTTCTAACGTCTTTGTATCTTTAATTCATTTAAATTTTCATAACGGTTTTCTAACGTCTTTGTATCTTTAATTCATTTCAAATATCATAAAGGTTTTCTAACGTCTTTGTATCTTTAATTCATTTCAAATTTCATAACGGTTTTCTAACGTCTTTGTATCTTTAATCTACTTCAATTTTCTAACGTCTTTCTTGTATTCCTCACTTATTTCACTTATTTTCCAACACTCACTTATTTTCTAACGTCTTTGTATCTTTAATTCATTTCCATTTCCCTAACGGTTTTCTTGTATTTTCTCATTAATCTAAACCTTTTCTAACGTCTTGGTATTTGAAAATTATTTCAAATTTCCCTAACGGTTTTCTAACGTCTTTGTATTTTTAATTCATTAAATTTCCTAACGGTTTTCTAACGTCTTTGTATCTTTAATTCATTTCAAATTTCCTAACGGTTTTCTCTTTTCAAATCCCAGGCTGGCGAGCAAGATGGCGTCCGGCGCGAGGAGCTACGTCGACGACAACTCCCTGTGGGCGACGCTGCTGGAGACCTTTGAGCTGCTCACTCTAAGGGCAAGGGAGGACTTCCAGTGAAGGGCGTAATAAAGATGGCGTAAATTTTTATCTGTGAGGAGTTATTGGCCTTTGTCTTTTTTTTTTTTTTTTTTTTTTTTTTTTTTTTTTTTTTTTTTTTTTTTTTTTTTTTTCTTTTTTTTTTTTTTTTCTTTTTTTTTTCTTTTTTTCTTTTTTTTCTTTTTTTTCTTTTTTTCTTTTTTTTCTTTCTTTTCTCTTTTTCTCTTTTCTTTTTTTCTCTTTTCTCTTTTTCTCTTTTTCTCTCTTCTTTCTCTCTCTCTCTCTCTCTCTCTCTCCTCTCCTCTCTCTCTCTCTCTCTCTCTCTCTCTCTCTCTCTCTCTCTCTCTCTTTTATTGAATTGGGTTTTGAGTTTCGTGTTTTTTTGTTTGTTGTGTTTATTTACTTTTTTTTCTCTTTCATATTGAATTAACGATTTTTTTATTACTATTCTTTGTTTTTTTCTCTTATGTATTATGTTTATTTACCTTTTTTTTGTTGTTTCTCTTTTTCTTTTGTCATTTTTTTCTCTCTTTTTCTTTTTGTGATTTTTTTTTTCACTTTTTCTTTTCTATCAGGATCAGAATCGTCTCTTTTTTATTCATTTATATATTTATCTGAAATATTATTATTGAATATTTTTTATTTATTGATATTATATTTAAATTTTTATTTTTCATTTCCTGTAGCAATTTTCTCTTTATTTTCTGTCATTTATTTTTTTTGTTTCATTTTCTTTTCAATCAGGATCAGAATCGTCTCTTTTTTATTCATTTATATATTTATCTGAAATATTATTATTGAAATATTTTTTATTTATTGATATATATATCTTAAATATTTAACTTTTTCATATAGAAAAAAATATATATTTCATCATTGTTTTTCGCGTGTCTTGGTGTCAATTCTGCAATTAAATTTTATTTCGTAATAAATCAAGCATATTCGTTGACACGTCACAGGAAAAAAAGAAAATTGGAATAAATAACAATTTTGCATTAAAAACTAAAATGTTTATTTATTTTTTTTTAAGCCATTAGCCATTAATTATTGTATTCAAACTTTGAGAAAATAGGAGGGAAAATTATTAATATAGTGACCATTGTGATAAATATGAAAAATTAGGTAAAATGTGAACAATTTTACGAAATCGATTTTTCAAAAAAAAAAAAATCTATTATTGACTCATTAATTCTTCTCAATTTTTTTTTTACATTACCTATTCAAAATTTGCCTCAAAAGCGCCTATAAAAGTTGCCATGAAAGTTTTTTTTGTTTTTTTTTTTTTTTATCTTTATCCATTTTTTTCTCTCAAGCTCGAATGCTAAATGAAGCGAGAAATTGACTTTATACTCGAACGCATCTCCTTATTAGGCTTAAGCTTGGCTTCCACTTTATCTTTTGTTTTTTTTCTCTTCTTTTCGTTTCATTTTATCTTATTATGTTTGTCCAAGAATGTTTAAATTGTTTTGGACGATTTTGGGAAAGGAAAATTAAATGAAGCAATAATATCTACACAAAATAATTTTGAGAAAGGTTTATTTGAATGTTTTATATAAAAAAAATAAATTGAATCTAGACAAGGAAAGATGTTATTGAAAAAAAAATTATACCCAATAATAAAAGTAATAATGATAATAATATTGATTGATATATGGATCATTCTACTTAAACCATTGGGTCATTAATTTCAAAATGACCAAGTTTTAATGAACTTTAAAGCTTTGTGAACAATGAACAACGAAAAAGATTATTTTTTCTTTTATTTATCAATGTTCATTTTATCTTATTTTGCTTTATTTATTCCTTTATTATGTTTTTGGTTAAAGGTAAACTAAAACCAATTTTTTTTTTACTTATTTCTAATTCATTCATTTATCTATCATTTGAGTTGTAAGTTTTTAAAATCAAAATCTAAATGAATTGTACCAGGAAACCATTGAAGAAATAATGAAAAAATAGATGCTTGAAAATGACAGTTAATTAGAAAATGGAAACGCAAAAAAAAAAAAAAAAAAAAAAGACAGAAAAAGTGATAAGTGTGATAAGACCTTAACACAATTTATCCTAATTTTTAATTCCTCTTTATCCTTTCCCAATACTTTACCATAGTGCTTTACGTTGATGTTTGTCACGTTTATTTGTTTCAAACATTGAACATTAAACATTTAACCTTGTGTGTTATTTGCGTCTACAGTTGTGTGTATCGTGTGTGTAGTTTCACGTTCCATTCCCGTGTAAGTGTTAAACGGTGTAGGTTTCTGTACCGTATTTTGTACAACTTCAAACGAGTTGTACAAAGTTGTACAGAATCCTCCCAGATTTCATGCTTGAAGGATTCTTGGTGTTGTGTTGGTATCATGATGGGACTTGTTGGTAGTGTTGGTATAACTGAGAGGTGATCAGTGGCTGTGGCATCGTCTGGTGTTTATATGTTGGTGTAGGTGTTATCTCTCTCTCTCTCTCTCTCTCTCTCTCTTCTCCTCTCTCTTTCTCTTTCTCTTTCTCTCTCTCTTTCTCTCTCTCTTCTCTTTCTTCTTTCTTTCTCTCTTTCTCTCTCCTTTTCCCTTCTTCTCCCTCTCCTTTCTCTCCTTCCCTCTCCCCTCTTTCTCTTCTCTCTCTCTTTTCTCTTTTTCTCTCTCTCTCTCTCTCCCTCTCTCTCATCTCTTCTCTTCTCTCTCTCTCTCTCCCTCCTTTCTCTTTCTCTTTTTCTCTTTCATCTTTTTCTCTTCCTCTTTCTTCGTCGATCTTTCTCTTTCCGTTTCTCCTTTCTCTTTCTCCTTTTTCTCTTTTCTTTTTCTTCCTCCCTTTCCCTCTTTTTTCTTTTCTCTTCTTTTTTTTTTTTTTCTCTTTCTCTTCTCTTTTTTCTCCNCAAACGATAAAATCAGAGGAAATAGAAGAAAAATAAACAAACAAGAAATAATAAAAAAGCTGATAAATTAAGGACTTAGGAATAAAGCAGACAAAAAAAAAAAAAAAAAAATGCTGTTGGATTTAATAATTTTATACGTAATTAGAAGAAAACAAAACCAAGGAAACGAAATATAATTAAAAAATATACACAATAAATGTTTGAAAAGGGATCATTAGGATAATTGAATTTAATATATATATATATTTTTTTTTAATGAGATAAATTTTGAAGATTAATGAAGAAAAATATTAACGAAGGAACCAAAATAACCCCCAAACAAACAAAATAGATGAATATAGAAAATAAATAATAAATAAAAGAGAAAAGAGAAACTATATGATAATGTATATATTATTTTTTCTTTTTATAAACAACAGGAAAAAAGATATTTTCCAAATACGTTTTGAAACTCATAAGTACTTTCTATTGATCTTTTTTTTTTAAAATCTTTAAAAACTTCATATATTTATTCTGGTACAAAAATACCTTTTCTTTCACAGCTCTTTCGTAAAGTTTAGAAACCAACGGATTATTTTATTTTTTTTTTTTATTTTCTGTAACTTCACAGATAAGCTTGGGCAAAACTGTTCACATTTTGAATTTACGACACACGGTTTTTTTTTTTTTTTTCTTAATGTTGCGATTTATGTCGCTTGAAGAAGAAAAAAGCAAAAAAAAAAAAGAAGAAAAAAAGTAAGGTATACTCCCTCTAAAAAAAAGAAAAAGAAAAAAAAAAAAAAAAAAAAAAAAAAAAAAAAAAAAAAATATATATATATATATATATATATATATATATATATATATATATATATATATAATATATATATATATAAAATTCAGTCTGAGGTAAAATCTGATGTCTTTTTTGTCATATCTCCGGGTAATCTTTCTCTTCTCTCTCTCTCACTATCTTTCTCTATCTATCCATCTTTCCCTCTACTTACTTATCTCTCTCTCTCTCTCTCTCTCTCTCTCGCTCTCTCTCTCTCTCTCGCTTTCTCTTTCTCTTTCTCTCTTCTCTCTCTCTCTCGCTCTCTCTTTCTCTCTCCTCTCTCTCTCTCTCTCTCTCTCTCTCTCTCTCTCTCCTCTCTCTCTCTCTCTCTCTCTCTCTCTCTCTCTCTCTCGCTCTCTCTCTCTCTCTCTCTCTCTCTCTCTCTCTCGCTCTCCTTCTCCCTCTCTCTCCTCCTTTTGGAAGCGAAATAAAACAGACAGCATGTCACAGCAAAGAATGTTCATTGTAGCAAATGGAATTAAAACTAAATCTTATTTATTCTTATTTTATCTAATCTCTTTCTTTTCTTTTATCGACTCGTGGTATTTACATGCATCAGATAGGCCTGTTTATAAACATAATATAAAAAGTTATCTGTTTTGTTAAGAGGGAAAATGATGTGTATATTTAAATCTTTTGCAAATGTAGTGAAAAAGATATATTTTCTAAACGTCTTGCTTAAAAAAAGATAAAAATCATAAATGCTCCGTGGAATTATTATTTTTTAAATATAATTATATTAAAATTTGTAAAAAAAATCTTTGTAAACAAAATAAAAAACGCGAAAAAAAGTAAACACATTTTCTGTAAATACACAAAAAAACCATCTTGTGTAAATTACAAGTATATATCCTATTAATAAGAGAATGAAACGGGAAATTTACAAAAAAGTGACATGTGGATTCTTGATATCTCTGCGTCTGAACCATTCTCATCATCTGTCTCCCTATCTTATCTTATCTCATCAGAGCGTAGGCCAACCGGCGTATTCTTCTGTTGTCTCTCTTTCTCTCTGTCTATCTATTTTCGTTTCTCTTTTCTCTCTCTTTTTCTCCTTTCTCTTTTCTCGTTCCTGCGTTTTCTTTCTCTCTCTCTTTGTCTGCTTGTTCTGTCTTTCTCTCTCTCCCTCTCTCTCTCTTGTTCTCTTCTCTCTCTCTTTCTCTCTTCTCTCTCTGTTTCTTTCTTCCTCTCTCTCTCTCTTTTCTCTCTCTCTCTCTCTCTCTTCTCTCCCTCTCTTTTTCTTCTCTCTGTCTCTCTCTCTTCCTCTCTCTCTCTCTGTTCTCTTCCCCCTCCTCTCTCTCTCTCTGTTTCACACACACTCTCTCTTTCTCCTCTTCTCTCTCTTCTCTCTCTCTCTCTCTTTCACACCACACACACAGATGTCAGAATTCTAAACTTTACTACGGCATACTACAGTGTTCCTTCTGTACATCTGTTACAACACGTGTACACGAGACCCCCCCCCCCCTCCCCCCCCCTCCCAGACAGACAATCACTCGAATCATGCAACGTCAATCCGTGCTTTGAAAAAAACAAAACAACAACAAACAAACAAAAAACAACAACAATAACAAACAAAACAACAACAATAACAAAGCATTGGAAGATACTGCATCTGTAGAAACAAACAAACAAGCAAAATCAACAACAACAAAACTCGATCATGGAAAATATTTCACCTTCAGAAAGAAACAATCAAACAAGCAAACAAAAAAAAAAAAAAAGCAAAAAAAAAAATAGAAAAAACACAAACAAGCATATAACATTACTAAAAAATTAGAAAACAACAAAAAAATCTTTCGTCGCTGGCTGCTCTGCCTAGACAAAAAAAAAGAAAAAAAAAATCAAAAAAAACTAAATAGATAAAAACAGAAACCCAAAATGAAGATAAAAAACAATAAAGATGAAACAGAAGCCAAAGACGACGATTTCGGATGCAGATAGAGACGCCATCTTGGAAGTCACTCGCCGCTTGTACCGACGCGGGAAATATTACGCGGTAATTTGGTGAATAGTCGGGAGAGAGAAGTGGAAATGGTTGATAAAGAGGGAGAAATCGGCGATATGAGATAAGAGCCTCGTCTACGCGCGCCGGATGGGGGGGGGTGTAGGAAGAAGAGGGGGAGGTGGAGGGTGGAGGGGGGAGGGGAGGGAAGGGGGTGGGGGTTGTTTCTCTCTCCTCCTCTCCTTTCTTTTCGTTCGTTTTCTTCTTTTTCTCTCTTTGTTTTTTTGCTTTCTCTCGTCTCTCTTCTCCCTCTCAGACTCTAATCGGATGGCACTTCCTCTCTCTCTCTTCTCTCTCCCTCCTTCCCTATCTATCCCCTATTTCCCCCCCCCCCCACAGCGGCACTCCCTTCTCCCCCCCCCCCAACTTCCATCTCTCCCCCTATCTCTCCTCCTCCCTCCCTTCCCCCTCCCTATCTCCCTCACTGACCCCTCTCCCTCCCTATCCCCGCCCCCCGCCCTCTCCGTCCCTCCCCCCCCCTCCCCCCCCGACCCCTTCCCCTACTCCCCTCCCCCTAGGCTCTCCCCCACCCCCGCCCTATCCCCCACCCCCACCTATCCCTCTAGCCCCTCCCCCACCCCCGCTAGCCCCTCCCCCCCCCCCCTCCCCTTCCCCACCCCCCTCCCCCTCCCCCCCCCCCTCCCCCCCCCCCCTCCCTCCCCCTCCCGGCTAACCCTCCCCCCCCCGCCTAGGCTCCACCCCCGCCCCCCCTAGCCCCCCCTCCCCCGCCCTAGCCTTCCCCCACCCCTACCTAGCCCCCCCCCACCCCCGCCGCTCCCCCCCGCCCGCCCCCTCCCCTCCTCCTCCTCCTCCTCGGCGGCGGCGGTGGTGGCACCCCGCGCTTCCTCAGTGTGCCGGTGAAGGCGGAGGCGACAGGAAGCTCCCACGCCCGACGATCCCAGAACCGCAAACCCCCCTTCCCAACGCCCTCACTCGCGCCCCCTTTTAGCACTCGTCCGCTTTAGGCTCTCCTCCAGACACCCTTCTTTTTAAGCGTCTCTCTCTCTCTGTCTCTCTCTCTCCCTCTCACTCTCCAACTCGAGGTCGACGCCATGAGGACTCTGCTGGGACTCGCCCTGGTCGCCGTCTTGGTCGCCACAGGTAGGACTCACTAAGGATTTTTTTTTACCTAATCCTTCAGGTTTTTATTTATTTATTTATTTATTTAAATTTTTCGCCGGTTCGGATCCGCCTCCTCTGGGTCTGTGGCGGCGAAGGGGGGGGGGGAGGGAGTCGAAATTTTTTTTTTTTTTTTTTTTGAAAGGGGGGGTTTCGGAGAGGGATTTTGAGGTCGAATGGAGTGAAAATCGAAAACGAAAAGAAAAGAAAGAAAGGAAGAGAAAGGAAAATATCGAAGTATTTGGGTTTTGGAAGTGAAAGAAAAAGAAAAGAAAAGAGAAAAAAAGTTAAGTGGGTTTGGAAATCGTGTGAATATTACGTAACTTAATCTATATATATATATATTTTTTCTTTTAATGACTGAACTATATCTATGTAAGAGAATTAAAGAAAGAAAGAAAGAAAACGAAAAATGTAGGAATTGGAAATCTATTTTTTTAAAATCTATTTATTAATTTTTTACTTTAAAAATATCTAATATCGAAACAAAATAGAATTGTAAAACACAGAAATCTTTTAGAATAAAATTACAAAATTTCAGAAATATTTAGGACGTAAAAATCAAATTTATTATTTTTTAAAGAGATATCTAGACCGAATTATGGAAAAAAAATAATGTATCCCATATACATTATTTTTTTCCCATAATTCGGTCTAATAATAATAATAATAATAATAATAATAATAATAATAATAATAATAATAATAATAATGTATATAGGATATAAAGATTTTTTTTTTCTCAAGTATATAGATCGAGGTATGAGGAAATGGAAAATGAAATTTCGAAATTTTGAGAAATGTTTTGGGCGTGATAATCGAAGCTCC